GGGCAGGTGGTATGACCCCCGTCTCACAGCTGAGAAAACAGGCCCAGAGAGACCGCGTGGCTGGAAAGGTCACACAGCTGGGGCCGCACCCTCACCTCTTGGCTGTGGGTCGCTGCGCTTTCTGTGTGCCACAGCAGCCTGACCTTGGGCAGAGGGAGGCAGAGCCCACGGCAGCAGGGATTCCTCGAAGGCCTGCGGTGGTTCCTGGGCTGCTGCCGCAGCGCGTCTCTGCCCCTAGTCAGCCCTGGTTCTCGGTGCTCTGCAACAGTGGTTTTCAAACTGTGAGTGCAAGTTTTCGGAAAAGCCTTGAGCACACAAAGTGGGGGCAGAACGTGGCCCTCCCCATATTCCATTCCACCTTCCCCAGATTGGATTCTACCAGAATTTTTCATGTAGTTTATGGACTGGAGTTCCAGTTAACATTTTGTCCAAAGTAAAAAATCTGTTAAATAAAGAACCCAAACATTTGAAAACCACTGCTCTGGGATGGGCAAGAATTTGACTGGCGCCCTCGGGTGGTAACAGGTGTCGCCAGACAGCAGTCATTCCCCTGCACTGAGCCATTTGCACAGGGCCCGATGTCACGTCAGAGAATGAGACGTCTGAAGAAAGGCAGGGTACCACGTCTAGGCTGTGAATTCACAGCCAGTATTAATCCAGGTCCAGCCCAGTGTGGTAGACATAGCTCCTGTTTTCAGGGCGTCTAGCATGTGCAGGAGGTAGGACTCAGACATTTGAGCAAACCATCAGCTTAAATTACAGGCCTGGGCTGCTTGGGGAGGGCCTCCCCGAGGAGCCTGGCCTTCCGTGTGGTTTGGCAGGAGGCTGGGAGGAAGAGGAGCTGGGAGACAGGCTCAGTGTCGGGGAATCGGTGCCCCCCTCCCTCTACATCTGCCCTCCCGTCCTGGGCTGTCTGTCACCTGGAGTGTCCGAAGGGTCCCCGTAGATAGTGGCTGCCTCGCCAGAGTTGAGACCCAGGTGCCTCTACTCCACTCCTGAAGCAGCCCTTCTAATGCTTGCTGGCAGCACATGCCCCTAACTGGCAGGGTGTATGTCCCAGGGAGGAGGCGGGTGATGTGTGCTTGTTCTGAGGGCGAGCTGCCTTGTCATGGACTGTATCACCTCCCAGGCCTCATACCCTGAACAGCACCAGCATGTCTAAGGCATATCAGAGCACCTTCACAGGCGAAACCAACACCCCATACAGCAAGCAGTTTGTGCACTCCAAGTCATCTCAGTACCGGCGCCTGCGTACCGAGTGGAAGAACAACGTGTACCTGGCTCGTTCCCGTATCCAGGGCCTGGGGCTGTATGCAGCCAAGGACCTAGAAAAGCACACAATGGTCATCGAGTACATCGGCACCATCATTCGTAATGAGGTGGCAAACAGGCGGGAGAAAATTTATGAGGAGCAGGTATGGGCTGGCCGAGGGGCCATTCATAGTCCACCCTCAGCCAAGGAACAAGGGGCAGTTTGGGTCAATGGGGCAGGCAGAAAGCTGGAGGTGGGGTGTGTACCATTTAAGCCCTGAGCTCAAGTCTGCTGAGACTCTTGTCCCTCTTACTGCAACCTCTTCCTTTCTAGAACCGAGGCATTTACATGTTCCGAATAAACAATGAACATGTGATTGATGCTACATTGACCGGAGGACCTGCCAGGTGAGCAAGAAAGGAGGGGTTTAGGGGGCCCCTGTCGGCGGCCCTCTGTGCATAAGCCAACAAAGCAGTAAATTGTCTCTCCACTCAGTTGCTTGACATCACCGATTATCCCACTGCCCAGGTACATTAACCACTCCTGTGCCCCTAACTGTGTGGCGGAAGTTGTGACGTTTGACAAGGAGGACAAAATCATCATCATCTCCAGCCGGCGAATCCCCAAAGGAGAGGAGGTAAAGGGAGCACCCTCGTGAGTGACCGTTCTTCGCCGTTTCCCAGGAGCTGCGTTCTGATGCCACTACCCAAAGATCAGATCTAGACTATGCCCTCCTTTGGGGGCGAGTTGTGAGTGTGCCTTCTTTTCTTTCCAGCTGACCTATGACTATCAGTTTGATTTTGAGGACGATCAGCACAAGATCCCCTGTCACTGTGGAGCCTGGAATTGTCGGAAATGGATGAACTAAGAAGCTTTGAGGCTACCAGGCAGGGGAGTCCCCCCACCCCCGACCTCTTCCCTGAAAGGGATGAGGGGGAAGAGAGGTAGCAGCCAGAGCCAGGACCCAGGGCTGGGGCTGCCGGCTGACCGGAGCCCCTGGAGCAGGAGGCTGGGGCAGAGGGCCTTAGGCCAAGCCCACCCTGGGCACCAGGGACAACCCTCTTCCCCGCCACCGGCCCTCAGGCTGGCATCTCTGCCCCCAGCTCGAGGAGGGGCTAGACAGGAGCAGCCGTTGGGCATCTCAGGTTTGAGGGGGATATGGGCCGGTAACTACCCAGAAGCATCTGGGAGGCAGCAGGGAGCGGGGAGGAGGATGTGTGGCCGGGCCTCACAGCCCTGCTGCTCCCACTGACCTCTCTGGCCCAATTCAAGGCTGCAAAGAGACTTGACTAAGCTTGACAATCCCAAAGGCCGGGTCCCACGCCTGGCCCTGCCTGCCGGGTCCTGCCCCCACCCTCACCCCCATCCCCTTTCCTCTCGGTCTGTCTCTGTCTCCCTCTTCTCCTCTGTGTCTCTGTCTCTCTATGGGTTGTGTTTCCTTGTTTTCCACTCTGACAAATGCAACATGAACGGGAAAGAGGCATCAAGCTGCCCGGGAGGGCGAGCTGGGCAAGCTGGGCAAGGAGACCCCGCACCCACACCTACCTCATTTAAGTGTTGGATTTTTTGCTGTTTTGAAATGTGAGACCCTCTCCAAGCCCCCTACTGCCCCAGCCCTCTCCCCCACCTCACTGCCCTCTTCTGAGTGGGTGGAAGGGGGGTAGGAGGAGGAAGAAAAAATAACAACAAAAAATCCATCTTTGTTTTTAATTATGGGCATGGGATGGTGGTTGAAGCAAATGGTGATGAAGATTGGGGATGACTGGCCCCTGGTCTCTCTAGAACTTCCTTCTCCATCTGGACATGGGGGCAGGAGGCGTGTGCTACACCTAGGACCAGGATATCTCCCCCCTGTTTTCCCAACCTCATCCTGAGCCCATTTGCCCTCCAGCCCCTGGGTGGGGTGGGGGGGTGGGTGTGGGCTGTCCCTGAGAGGTGCCCATACCCAGTGAGGCAGGGTGTGGCCCGGAGCTCCCACTTTCCCACAGTCACCAAACTGCTGCTGGTCTGGTGGGAAGGGGTGGTGATGTGGGGATGGGGAGCTTAGTGTCAGCGCGGGGAGGGTGGGGGGTATTTATCTATTTATACATGGGATTGTACATAGTCTTGTGGGGCGTGGGGGAGCCGGCTGGAGGTGAGAACCCTCCCCTCTCCCCCCACCCCCGGGGAGAGCAAATGTAAAACTACTAATTTTTGTGCTTTATATATTCTATATAAATATATCTATTTTCTTTTTACAAAACCAGTTTATAAATGGTAGGGGGGTGTGGGGCGGACACATGGAGCTCCCCTTGTGGGGGAGCCCCCTCCATTACCCAACCTACCGCCCTTTTCCTCACCCCCCACTCCCCACCCCCTGGCTGTGACTGCTGTAAGGTGGGGGTAATAGAGAGAGGCCGGGCAATTCGCACCCCGTTGTATAGTTGGACTATGTTATAACGCACAAAGGTGAGCTGGCCCCAGGGGGAGCCAGAGGGTGATGGGTTCCCTGCCTTCTTTTCCTTCCCCTTCCTGCCCAAGCTTGTGCTGCAGTTGAACCTCTTCCCGGTGGCAGGGGTAGGTAGAGGGTGGCCGAGGCCCCAGACCCTTCTCTGGTAGGGACCCATGGGAATGAAGATGAAGCTTGTATGCAGTTCTCTCCTAGGGGCTGTGGGCAAAGGGCATTTTGTAATTAATATTTTCAAGAATCAGATGTCGAGTGTAGGGGTGGGCTTGGTGGTGGCAGATGGGCGGGCCTGCTGAAGGGGGAGCACGGTCGCTGTTGTGATTTTAGGTTTGTTTTGTTTTGAATTTGGGGGGTTGTGGATTGATGGGGGTAGGGAGGTTTTTCTTTTTTTAAAGCTGCTTCCTCAACTGTTCAAGCTGCAAATAAATGTTTAAGACAGTAACACCCCCACTCCCACGGGAACCACTGTAATTAGATCAGACAGGAGGGAGACTGGGCTGCTGCCCCCAAAGCCACAGCCCTTGGATGGTCCTTTTCCGAGAGTTAAAAAGGTCTAGGTTACAGCGCGGGGAGATTGGCTCCTGTGAGTCAGGCTCTGGTTGGGGACTGGGAAAGGGATGGGGCAGACTTTGTAAGCATATGCTAGATATCCGATAGTCCTGTAGAACTTAGTGAAGAAACCTTATACAGTTTTTAATTTTTATATAAACTATAACTCAGATCCAAGCTACAAGGTTGGAGTTTTGGTTGTTGGTTTTTTTAAGTACCCTGCCTGTATAATTGCATCAGAATCCCTCCCCCCGTGTTTGTATTTTGGGTTGGTTTACACTTGCACATACTCAATTTTCAGTTTTTCCCCGTTACCGTCTTCTACCCTCACCTCCAGGACCCTCCCCCTTTTTAAAAAATAAATCGCTGACAAGTGTGAATTCCGTGAAGACTTTATTTTGTGTTGTGTGTATCCTGTACAGCAAGGTTGGTCCTTCTTAACAACGGATGAAATGGTTCTCTTTTTTAAAGCGCCCTCTCACCCCCCTCCCCGTCCTTGGCATGTTTTGTATCAGCGATCATCCTGAACTGTACATAACTTATGTTGCGAGAGGCAAAAGGGCAAGTTTTGGATTTTGCTTCTTCCAAGTTTGTTTTTAAACGACAAATAAAAAAAGAACATTTTAAATACAAGCGGCTCCGTCCCGTGACCCTCGCCGTCAGCAGCACCGCGAGGTCCGCCAGCGCGCGGGGGCGGGCCGGGCCGCCGGAAGGGTGGGCTCCCTACCTTCCGCCCTGGGCTGCGTCGGCCGTGACGCAGCGGAAGTGGGGTCGCGGCACCGGACACGGGGCGGGGCCTGCCCCGAGCTTCCGGAAACGAAAACCGAGCCGGCTTCTCGCGATGGAGACGGTGAGGAGCTCAGGAGGGCGGCGGGGGCGCTGTGGAGCCCGAGACCCCCCAATTCGGAGACGGGGAGGGCCGGGCAGGGGCTGGCGCTGGTGTCTAGCAGTGGAGAAGCCGCCGGGCGTCGGCCCTGTCCCCGAGACCCCGCCCGCCCCCGCCTCGCTGGGCGCATCTCCTAGGACGGGGCCCTGCGCGTGCCCGAGTCCGGCCGCACCTTCGCCCGAGCTAGCGGTGGCTCCCGGGCCCGTCCTGCAGCCCACGCACGCCATGGCAATCTCCGGCCTCCTTGCCCCTTAGCGCGCAAGGCCTCTCTCTCGTTTGCACGATAGAGCAGTTGTGATCCGGCTTTACTGGGTGAGGGACCCCCGTCTGCAGGTGGTCTGCCTCCTGCAGTCCCTGGAAGAAGGCACATGGAAGTCTTTCCTTGCGTTCAGAGAGGTCATACTCCTTTTCTCAGACCGATGAGTGGGGTTTCCGTGAGGAGGGTTGTTTCAGTGTTAAAGGCCGCAGTGTTCCCTGGGCAAGTTTAGGTCATGTCCTCTGCTTAGACGGGCGTGTTGACATAAGTCCTTTTTGGCGAGCAGGCGTTAGTGGTGGCAGGTCCTTGTCACCAGTCCTGTCACCTTCCCATAGATGCTGCAGGTTGCCTGCTACGTATTTGGACCTACCTCACGGGTGCCTTTTCTGGGACCCTCCCATCCACTTGGGACTCCACACTTTCGTACTGTAGACAGAGTAACTCCTCCCAGCTTGGTTTTTATCATCTACTACTGTAATTGTATGAGGGCTGCAGGTTCCCTTTTCTTTGGATCAGCCAGTAGTATGCCCTGAGTAATTCTTTGCCGCACGCTTTCTCAGCCTGCAGAGACGGGGTGTACCTTAGCTGACAAGAAGACAGGTGGAAGTGGTAAAGTGATGTGCAGTTGATCCCTCAGACAAGGGAGTCAGTTCTACAGGGCGAGAGAATTTTGAGCAAGAATATTCTGATTCCATAAATTGTATCATTTGTACGCGCAAATGTGTTACAGTTTTTGAAGCATTTTTATAATTTAGCCCTTAGTTATATACTGAGTTAGGGTCAAAAAAGAATAAAATGGTTGACCTAACTGGAGTGAGGTGAGGGCAAGCCAGTGATAGCTGTTATTTAAGATAAACCATAATAAGTGCTATCGTCAAGATGCAAACAAGGGCCTGAAAGCATAGGAGAGGGAGAGATTACAGTGTATGTAGGAGAGGTCATTGAAGATTGACTAAGAGTATAGAAATTGGGGTAGCCAGTTGTGACTCATGCCTGTAATCCCAGCACTTGGGAGGCTGAGGCAGGAGGATTGCCTTGAGTTTGAGGCCAGCCTGGACTATAGAGCAAGACCCTGTCTCAAAAAAAACAAAA